GGCTAATTGTGTGACTTCACAGATGTTCAGCTAGGGGATGGTACTGGGGAGAGCAGAGGCCCCAAAGGGCCAGGCTTTGTGAAAACCATAACTCCAGACAATCAGCTTAACTTTCCCCATCTCTGTGTACCCCTTGGCCTTCAACCACAATCTGAGCTGTCCTCATGCAGCAGGTCCCAAAGCCTAACCTTTCCCTGGAGTGCCTAGGGTTATCACAGCTGTACAGCTTCCCTAGCTTCTCCTTCCTCCTTCCTCGGTCTCTCCTGCATACCACAGCCCTAGGAGCCTGTGGTTGCCCCCTCTAACTTATAACCTGTTTACAAAGTGTTTTCTAGTATTTGATTTCACCTATTCAACTTCTCTGCTGATTTCCAGGTCCAGTTTGTATGGTGTCACTCTCAGCCCCTACAGCCATCCTTGCTCAGCTCTTCTCATCCCAACAGGGAGTGAGAAGCAGTCTGTTCTCTCTTGGAGTCTTATGCAGCAGAACCTGTCCACTTTCCTCACCATGTCATCAAAACTGTCCTCCCAGTTTTGCAGTTCAACACAGAGCTTGCCAGGGACCTTAATGCCAGGAGCCAAGGACACCTGTCTTCCCAGAGCCATGCTTTATCTTTTGGATAGCTCTGTTAGAAAATTCTTAGGTTAGTCAGATCCAGTAGTGCATACCTGTAATCCCAATGGCTCAGGAGGTTAAGGCAGATGATGGATCTGAAGTTTAAGGCTATCATGAGCAACTTAGGGATACCATGTCTCAAAAAGGGGTGAGTATATAGCTTAGTGGTAGAATGACCCTGGGTTCAATCCTCAATACTGCAAATAATAATAATAATAATAATAATAATAATAACGGAAAAGAAGGAAAGAAAAATAAAAGTTGTTAGATTTAACCTGAGGAAATCAATTCCCCAAAATTTCTAATCCTTGGACCTTATGTAACAGAATATATTCCTCTTCCATCCAACAGTTTGTGGCTTGGCTACCTTCTACCCTCAGAAACTTCTGTTTTTCAGATGATATACCCAAAGTTTACTATACTACCTAGTAACCATCGTTAGGTATAAGATGCTTAACATGAGTGAAAATGTTCTGATGTTCTAGTTATAGTCTCTGGCTGATTTCTGTGTCTTCTCCAACTCCAATGCATGACCCTCCTCTAATCTGGGGGTCAGAGGCTGTGTCTGTCCCAGCAGCTCAGCAACTCCTTAAGAGGGTATTCCCAGTCTCCACAGGAAAGGGAGATCTGAGATGTATCAGGTGATATGGGCCTGAAATTTGGGGTTAGAGGGGAGGTGACTATAATTCCAGAATGCTGTGCCTTTTGCAAGTTTGATCCTGACACCCTTCTCCTCTGTCTCATCCCAGGGGGTAATGGGATGGGAAGCGTGGAACAGGAAGCTGTGGGACCAGCTGCATGGTTCTGAATCTCACTCTCCCAGATGCATCAGGACAGTTAATCTCTTGGAAACAAAGACTTTGTTCAGCCAAGGAAACCTTCTTAAGTGCAAATAGGGGGTACCCATTTCTGTCTCCCATACCCTGGAGACAAGAACTCCCATTTCCTAGCCCTGTATAGGCATTAGGGACATTGTAGACCTTCCCTAAAGCCACTTTTGCCCCACCTTTCTACACATACTATAGAGAACAGTGGATGACAAGAGGGGACCCTTGGATTCCCCAAATGGGTAAGGGTAGGGGAGGACCAACATGTTGATTTTCCTAAAAGTACCCCACTCAGGAGCCTCAGTCTATGTCAGATTATTCCACACCTGATAAGGTCAGAGTAGCTAAATAGAACCACCCTTCATCTTGGGATGGGACCAGCTCCTGGTCCACTCCTCACTCTATATAGCAAGATTCCAGAAGAGGTCAGCTGAGATGCCCACCACACAGCTGCTGGGGCTCTCTGGATCCTCCTCTACTGGGCACCAAGCAAGGCCTGAATACCCAGGCACCTGAGGAGCTGGGAAAATGGCATGAGAGTGGAGGCTAGATGGCAAGTTAGAGTCTGGCAGGAAACCTGGGAAGAAGTGGGCAGGTCCCTGGACAGGGCCATGCTTTATCCTACCTTATCTCATTGACCCAAGCTTTGCCTTCAGCTGCTCCAAGTGTGAGGTCCTGACTTGGCTCTGGACTGGGCTGTGTGTTTGAGAGTTTGCTCCACAAGCCCGGGAGGGGCATGTGTCTCTCCACAAAGCTGTCACAAGTAAGTGAGGGTCTTTCTGGTGAAGGATCCCTAGGGGGTGGGGCTCAGACTTTGCGGGTATCGATGTCCCCATCCATCCATCCATCCAATCAGGAAGCCAATCTAAAGACTCAGTCTAAAGTTCTGCAATCCCTCAACAGAACTTGCCTCATTCCAGGCTGAGGCAGGAGGATCACAAAGTTTAGGCCAGCCCGGGTAACTCAGCGAGATCCTGTCTCAAAATAATAAAAAATAAATTTAAAAAAAGCTGGAGATGTAGCTTAGTGGTAAAGCATTCTGGAATCAATTCCCAGTAAAATAAGTAAGTAAGTAAATAAATATTTAAAGGACTGGCGATGTAGTTCAGTGGCAAAGTGCCCCTAGGCTTGAATCTCAGTAACACTAATAAATAAGGAGAAAGGGAGGAAAAACAAAACAAAACAAAACACCTTTCTCGCAGAGCCTACCCCTTTACGGCCCCGCCCTTCGTTTGCCAAGCCTGATTCCTCCAACTGTGGCTTTCAGTCCTCAGGCCCCACCTCCTCGCTTTCGTCACTCGGCTGCCTACCCTTAGGCGTCCTTAGTCCGGAGGGAGGAACAATCTGCTTGGATGCCTTCGTTCCTTGCTATCACCATAGCGACTGCTACAACGCCCTACCTCTTTACCCTAGGAAAGCTTCGGAGGAACCCATCACCACGAAAACGAACTCTCGCGGCGCTTAGCGTGTGCGGCCCCGCCCTGCCGCGTGAACGAGGCAAGGAATAAAAAGAAGCAGGGGCTGGACTAAGGATTCTGAGACCTTGTCTGTCTGTCGGAGACGGCTCCCACCAAGCACCCGCCCTCCGCTCCCGGGTCTTCCTATAGGTTCTGCTCAAAGCTTGCGGGGCTGTAACCTTACTGCGGGGCAAGTCTTCTTGTACCCCACTTAAGCCTCACTTAGCTCCTAGTTTGGCCTTTCAGGTGCGGTTATATTCGATAAAGGGGTTCTGAGGGCTCCGTAAAATTTCCCTTTGACTCCTCTTTGCCCTTTTCGCTTCCAGAGGAGCCCTCGCTCGTTGATTTTTTTCCTTATTATTCCATGAACTCCCTCATTTAACAGGTGACAGGCGCTTCTCTCCCAGTTCTTCGTTCTGTAATATAGCGTTGAAATTTCATTCATTCCAAGACTGGTAGGGTGGGGCGCGCAGTAGCGTGCGTTTTTCTCTAGTGTTTCTTCCATCCCGTTATTTCTAGGACCCGTCCTTGCTTTTCCTGTCGGTTTCTTACCATCTTCCCCATCAACACTACAAGATCGCATGATTCTTGAGTAGTCAGGGCATTAGCAGAGAATCCGACTTCAGGACCCCGCCCCAAACCTCCAAAGGGGAAACCGGAGCAGGTGATGTCGTCCTGGACGCCGAGGACCTCCCAGTGTCCTTACTTTTAAGCCCAGTGTCCTTAAAAGTAAAATCCCTGAGTCTATCTGCGACTGATCTAAGGAGGTGGGGACTGAGCTGGTGAAGTGGGGGAGCCCCGCAGGTCTAGCGCCGAGGAAATGGGCTGGGCTCCTGGGGCCGCGGACTCCGGAATCCACCCGGAGGAACGGTGGTACTACAGCACCACCTTCCGGGTAAACCGCTTCATGCACAGGGTGTCCGCTGGCTCACCCTTGGGTCCCCACGCGCAGCTCGCGCTGGCTTGACGCCAAGCGAACTGTGCTTGGGCAGGGGCCGCCCCCGCATCCTCCTGAGAATTCTAAGGTGCAGTCAGGCGCGGAGAGAGAACGCACGGCGCGGGAACATGTAGGAACCGGAGATTAGACTCACTGACCTGCAGCCGAGCTTGGGCGGGGGTGGAGTAAAAGGGGTCGTGGGGGATAAGGTGCCCCGGAACCTCAAGGGGGCACCAGTCTGAGAATAGGGGTGGGGAGAGTGTCACTGTTTCTCTGTGATCCAGATATTCCCGCTTTTGGAAAAACATGGTACTTGGAAAATGATACTACCAGTCATCTCCTCGTGCGAATCTATTCCCCATTCCTTCACTTACTCATTCATACACCAAATCTGTACAATCTTTTTTCTAAATGCTCAGGTTCTTTCATTCTCTTCAGCGAGACCAGGCCGCCATCTTGTGACTGAACTCGGGAATAGCTCCCTATTTCCCTGCATTCTCCCATTCTCCCATGTGTAACAATGGAAATCTTTTTTTTTTTTTTTTTTTTGCACCAGGGATTGAGCTCAGGGGCACTCAACCACTGAATGATATCCCCAATCCTATTTTGTATTTGATTTAGCAACAGGGTCTCACTGAGTTGCTTGGTACCTCGCTGTTGCCCAGGCTGGCTTTGAACTCTCTCGATCCTCCTGCCTCAGCCTCCCAAGCCTCTGGGATTACAGGCAAACAATGGCAGTCTTTTATGAGAAATCTGATCGCGTTTCTCTTCTGCTGAAATCCCTCTGGATAGTGATTTCTACTATCCATGTGCTCCCAGCAGCACTCTGCCTCTTCCCACCATTGCCTGTTGATTTGTCTCCTCCACTAGACTGTGCCCTGTGAGGGCAGGGGCTTTGGACACTGCTTATCTTCAACATCTGATGCAGTAAATCAATAAACATCTGATGAATTAATATAAAAGTTTCCCTCTCATTCCTCTGTTTCTGGGTCCCTGCCCCAAGCAGGATGTTAAGATCTGGAGTGGCTGTGGGTGAGGACACTCTGATCTGACTGTTCTGGCACTGATTTCCATCCTAAATGTGTTGCCTCTCTCTTTCCTCTTGGCCAACCTCTTTTCCACCAATATAAGCCCAGAACAGAGGCCAGAGGGCAGTGGTGCATTTCATGGCAGGCTTTTCAGGGAGCTTGAGTCTGGGGCCTCTGAGCCTCCACAGCATCCCCCAATCCCTGTACAGCATCTTCTTAATAGTGATGGTCATGATGAGCTTGGTGTTTGGTAAGTGGCTCCAAGGGTTCAGAAGGGTCTCCTGGCCTGCTGGATGGAGAAATAAATAAACTGATTGTCTGAGCACATCTGCCCAGGATGCTTAGGTAAACCCAGGCAGCAGAAAAGATGCAATGGACAGGTGTGGTAGGGAAATACCTGGGTTTGCCTAAGGACTGATATTGACCCTGAGGGTCTTTTCTAGGAACTGCCCCATGGCTGTCTCACTCAGTGACAGTGATCTGAATGGAGATACTGAAGGGATTCTATCCAAATCTGAGGACAACCGAATAGGGAAGGTTGAGAAAGTACTTTCCCAACCATGGAAGCAGAATCCACAAAGTAGAACTAGGCTAAATTCTGTTTGATGATCTTACTGGGCTGAAAGCACCATCTACAGAGAAACAGGATTCAAAGTGTTTGTTTAGTATTTGCCTCTGCCTCACCCAAGTGCTCTGCTGAGTCTGAGGTTTCATTAATGTTTGGTCTGAGCTGAGGACTAAAGGAAGAGGGGGATGTATATACATGTAGTTGGGGAAGGAGGGAGAGAATGGGTATTTGAGTGGACAAAGTTTAATATGGGCCTCTCCTGTGATAGGACTGCAAAAACAAGGCATGTGGCATGGGCTGCTTGACGTCCCCTGTCTGCATGAAGCATGGTCTTTCTGGCCTGTGATGCACTCTTGTTTTTACTTCTCAGCATTATGGATTTTAAAAAGTTCATGTCAAGTATGTTGGGGAACATCTGTAATCCCAGCTACTCAGGATCCTGAGGCAGGAGAATTGCAAGTTCAAGGCCAGCCTAGGTAACTTAGTAAGACACTGTCTCAAAACAAAAAAGCTTTCCTGGAAAGTGTGAGGCCTTGGGTTCAATCCCTAATATCACAAATAAAATGAAGCATGTTTGGAAAAGAGTCTGGGGGACAGAGGATTTAGAGAGAAAGTTACAGAGGAAGAACTGCCCTAACAGGGCTGTACAAAGCTGGTATGGGCTGTCTCAGCCTCACCTGTGAATTTGAGAGAGACTGAGCGCTGGGCAAATATTAGCTCTTCAAATACATGTTGAATGAATGAATAAGTGATTTAATGAATTCTCACCTTTAGAGGCAAAAGAAGAGAGAACAAAGATTTTTTTTTAATAAGGACTAAAGCTTCTGCTATACTAAACCAAATGGATTTAAAGAATCAGGGATTTTATGGTTTTCTGAGGTGGGGAGAGGACAGTGGGATTGGCCAACCCGGAATCAGGTATGAGGGATTTGGGGTCATTGCTTTTCTGTGTTCTAGGTAAGCTCGTTCCTGACAATCCGGGACCCCCTCAACCACCTCATCTCCCCAAATACCTGCGTTGCTATAGATGTCTCTTTGAAACCAAGGAGTTGGGATGCCTTCTGGGATCAGACATCTGCCTCACTCCAGTTGGCAGCAGCTGCTTCACTCTGCATATAAAGAACAGTAAGCTGCCTTTTCCCACCATGGGCCCAGCCCTCTTAAGCAGCCTCTCCCAGCCTCCTAAACAGTACCCCAAGTCCTGTTCCTATAGCCGTAGGACACTGTTCCATCTCTTTCCTTCAGAATCACTCCCTATCTCCACTTCCACCAGCTTCCCTCCTCAACCCACAGCTGATTGGCTCCTACCCTCTTTGTCACTCAGGTTTGAAGGGGACCCTGGAGATCTCCAGAGGTATAGGCCTTTCCTCAAGTTGCCTGCTCTCCAGCTATCGGCATAGTTCCTATATGTGTCACTCTTCTGAAACTTCTACTGGTCCTCATAGTGACCTTCACTGTCTTGCCTTATCCCCCCGAGACTCAGTGATTCATGTTTGGTCCTTAGCTGTCTTCCCACTGCATAGCTCTTCCTAGAGGATATTATCTGCTTCCTTGGCTTCAACCAGCAGCCACAGAGTACTTCCTCCTGGATCTGAATGTTACTTTGAACCACTTTCCTTGTGTCCTGTTATCTACTGGACATCTCTACCTCATTTTCAACTTGCCGAAAATTGACCACATTCCTTCTTTCCTCAAGTCTGTTCTTCCACCTAGTCCCCTGCCTGCTTTTCTTCCCTCCCTCTCTCCCTCCCTCTCCCTCTCTCTTTTCCTTTCCTCCCCTCCCCTCCCTCCCTCCCTCCCTCCTTCTTTCCTTCCTTCCTTATTATTATTTAGTACCAGGGTTTGAACCTAAGAGTGCTTAACCACTGAACCACATCCCCAGCCCTTTTTGTTTATTATTTTAAGACAGGGTCTTGCTAAATTGCTGAGGCTGGCTTTGAACTTGTGATCCTCCTGCCTCAGCCTCAAAGCCACTGGGATACAGGTGTTTGCCACCACATCTGGCTATTTATTTATCTTTTGAGACATGGTCTCTCTATATTGCCCAGACTGGTTTCCAACTCCCAAAGCCTCCTAAGTGCTGGGATTACAGATGCACACCAGTTTCTCCTACCTTTACTAAGTTAACAAAGACAGCACACACACTCTGTGCCAAGTACTGTTTATTTTAGAACCTTATGAGGCAGTATATTATCCCCACTTTACAGATAGGGATATAAAGATGTAGAAAGAAAAAAAATCTGCCTGAATCTCAGAGGCTGGGTCAGAAGTAGTGGCTCCACGGATGGTGTTCTTAACACCCAATGCATGAAATTGCCTTCATTTACATCCTTCCACTACATTTTAAAATTTTTTTTAAAAAATTTTTTCAGCCATGCTGGAGATTGAACCCAGGGCCTTAAGAATGCTAGACATTTGCTATATGGCCAAGCTGTATTCCCTAGTCCTCTCATTACTTTATCCTGTCTGCAATCTTCTGTGCACATTTCACCCTAAATATGCTGCTTTTTTTTTTTTTGGTACTAAGGATTGAATCCAGGGGTGCTCAACCACTGAACCATATCCCAAGCCCTTTTTTATATTTTGTTTAGAGACAGGGTCTCACTGAGTTGCTAAGTGCCTCTATAAGTTGCTGAGGCTGGCTTTGAACTTGAAATCCTCCTGCCTCAGCCTCCCGAGCCAATGGGATTACAGGCATGCACCACTGCCTGGCCCCCATATTCTTTTATTCACTCTTTTATTTCTCCCAGACAGTAGCAGACCATGATAAACACATAAACACTGTTCTGCATTTGCTTTTTAAATTTGACAGTTATGAGGACTTAATGTTTCCATATCAGGTTATAAACAGCTTTGTTGTTCTGTTGAGGTATTCCACTGTACTTCATGGCAGTGGGCATATCAAAGCTGATTTATTCATCCTACTATTGATAGGCATCTAGGCTGTTTCTAATATTTTTCTCTCTCAAGCAGGATAGCAGTTGAATATCCTTGTGCATGACTTTTTGGGACAGGGACACAAAGCTTTTTTTCCCCTTTAATACATACATTATATCAAAGACATCATCACCCTATTTTATCACTTTTACCCTCTAATGGGTGCTTGTTCTCCCCATTTTGCTCTACAGACCTCAACTTAGTCTGGCTCCTCTAGAGTTACATTTTTAAATGGTTCTTTTCTTTAAACCTTCCTTGGGAAACTTCAGAGTTGCGTGGCTTGTGACTCACTGGACATTCCCCACTCCTACCCAATTCTAGGAGTCTTTTCTTTTGACCCAGGGAAGTCTATTTGGGGGAAGAGGATGTGAGGATGGGACTCTGCATGGGAACCTCCTTGTCACTGGAGTTTGTGGTCCTTCCATAGGCAGTGGTTCTGACATCTTGGTGAATGACTGCCGCAGCCAGGAACAGATGAGTGATTGTTCATATACTCATTCTTCTCCTGTGTCTGGCTTCTGGATATACTCTCAATGCTGCTTCCTGGACTTCTGCAACGACCCTAAAAATAAAGTACTCTAACATTCATTAGAAGCACTACCAAGAACCTTGGAGAAAACTGCCAGTTTCCTGCCACCCTTCTGATTTCTACCTGGGTTCAGCCAGGGAAACTTACAATTTCTTATACTACCCCTCCCTGCCTTCCTCAAGTCACTACCCCAGACTGGACTTTTCTCCTCTTGGTTAATTCTCCCCTACTCCCACTCTGCCTCCCAGGTTCCCTCTCTTGCCCCAAGTCCCCAGGTGTTCCTTAGAAATAAATGGTTGGGCAAAGTGTTTGGTTTGTCTATATCATCTGGTCGAGGTAGAACTCCTGAATGTCCCATTATGGGGACAGGAAAGAGGCATCCAACTTTGCTCCTGCCCCACTTCAGTATCTCTGATTCAGCTCTAGGCATAAAAGGGCAAAAAGGAATGGAAGCCCTCCTATGAAGGCTAGATTAGTGGGCATCCTGAGAAGTTCTGTTCAACTAGAGAAGTGTGGGGCTTGAGGGGAGGTTCAGAGGACTATGATGGCAAAAAGGGTGGCTGCAAAAGGCCAGGTCTACGGAGGAGGGGGTGGATGAGAAGGGCACATTAGGCCCAGTGGACCCCTGGTCTCCGATTTCCAGGCTCAGTGTCCCTCTTCAAGGATCAGCAAATTTCCCAAGGGTCTTGGGTTCCTCAGCTGAGGCTGTCTTCCAATTTGGCCTGCTAGAGCTGCATAAACCTGGGCTTATCTCTGTCTTGTACTGAAGTTAGAGGTTCTGGGGGACAGGAAGCTCAGCTAGGAGTGGGGGCACAGAGGGTTTGTTTTTGTACCTCCAACTGCCTCATGATCTAAAACTTAATGTTGGTGTCTTTGCCCCAGTACAGACCATCAACAGGTAGATTTGCTGATCTGCAATATGCTGAATAGGAAAGAGTATGTAGTGCCATTTCCATCAAGCAGAGAGACAAAACTTACCCAAGCTGCTTTAAGGCCACCTCTGAGGGTTAGTAGTGCTTGGGAAGGGACATAAAGGCAGTATTGGGTCTGGTAAAGGTCTTAAAGCTGACTTGACAGATGGTTATACAGATGCATAGGTGACAAAAACCCATCTTATGTTATGCACAAGCTTCTGTATGCTTTGTCAGAAAGGTTTAAAAAAGTAAGATCAAGCCAGGTGTGGTGGTGCATGCCTGTAATCCCAGTAGTTTTGGAAGCTGAGCCAAGTGATTGCAAGTTCAAAGCCAGCCTCAGCAATTTAGCAAGGCGCTAAACAACTCAGTGAGACCCCGTGTCTAAATAAAATACAAAATAGGGCTGGGGATGTGGCTTAGTGGTCGAGTTCCTCTGAATTTAATCCTGGTACCCACCCTTCCAAAAAAAAGTAAGGTCAAAAATTGTATGTGCATTTGTCTCTAAAGTGCATTATGTACTTCAAAAAAAAAAATTTTTTTTTTTCGCTCTTTAGCACTGGGGGTTGACCCTTACCAAACTGCTGAGTCTTGTTAATTTGCTGAGGCTGGCCTCAAACTTGCAATCCTCCTGACTCAGCTTCCCAAATTTCTGGGATTAGGTATACAACAAGGTACCTGGCTTATAAAGCACTTATATATACAATTTGTATGTGTGCATATTTACGTGTCCTTCAACCATGAGGCATAAAAAGGCATTCTTCCTTGACAGGTAACCAAGATGAGACTGGGAGAGACTGACTTACCCAAGTGGCAGAGGAGCTCAGATTAGGCCTCCCAGCCACAAAGCTGGACTGCTTTCAGAAAGTTTTCATAACCCCCAAGTTTGGGAAAGGCAGATACCTGGCTATACTTTTTTTTTTTGGTGGTGCTGGGGATTGAACCCAGGGCCTTGTGCATGCAAGCAAGCACTCTACCAACTGAGCTATATTCCCAGCCCCCGACTATACTTTTGTGGGACTCCTGGTGCTTAACAAGTCTGGCTCAGGGCAGTGACCGGTGTTTGTTGAATATGTGAAGGCTGACTTTTGAGTATCCACTGTTGCTTTCTGTATGCTTGCAATTTTTCAGAAACAAAATATTAAAGATCCAACTACTGCATTCCCACTAGTACACACTCTGCACATCCCCCCTCCATTTGAATCCCCATACAGGGGATCTTGGGTATTAATACACTTGAAAACTAAGTATAGGAAGGAGTCCAGGTCCCTTAGCATCAAGTGATTCTGAGATGTAGATCCTGAATCTTCCTGGTTTGAAGTTTTTTCCTAGATTTTGCAGAATATGTTAAGGTTGAGGAGAGTCAGGATCCTCATGCTTTGATCTTTGAGCAGCGGGTAGGGAAGGATGTGGGCCCTTTGGGGGAGGGCCAAGAGGCCACAAAGGCCACATAGAGTGGGTGGGACTCTGCAATCCTGTTTGAATGCCAAACTTATTAACTTTCTTTATCCTATTTACACCTGCCTACAACTAAACCTGACATCACAAACAACATGACACAGATTTAGTAGCCCAGTCTGTTTATTGTGGAGGGAAATGGGGGATGTAGAGCAGAGTAGGACAGACCCTCTCTTTCCTTTCACCAGGCACTAATGGACATGGGTATCAGTACTCAGTGAGGTGAAATGGGGCTGAGGAGGACAAATATTGTGAAAAGAAAGGACACAGGCAGCAGGAAAGTAGGACAGAAGAGGAGATGGAAGAGGCAATGAGGCAGAAACATCAGATTGCTATGTCAGGAAATCTTCACAGCAGTCTACCCTTAGTCCTTTCTTCTGCTAGTTCAGTCTGGCACCAACTCTTAGAGACAGGCAAAAGAAAGGAGATATAGTGCCAGATCTGAGTAGATGTGGCAGATGACCAGACTGAGAAGAGGGGAAGATGGTGAAACACTCAGATGATGGGAACCTCTGTGCCTTTTTCAGGTCAGACTGGGCAGAATTCACATTTGAGATTCTTTATTAGGAGGAAAAAAGAGCAGCACCAGGGTTCCTGGGAGGAAATTAAATGAAAACCATATAGACACTGGAGGTCCAAAGGAGGGAGGCCTAAGAGATCACAGGGGTCAGAGGATGTGATATTCTCAGAGGGTACTGCAAGATGCTGGAGGTGTTGAGGAAAGGCTCTGGAACAGAGTGGAATTTTGAAAGGGAAAGATGTCAGGGTCCAGCCTGGGGAAGAACCAGAACTCTTGAACTGTTGAGGAACAAGTACATGTGGCGCAGGTCAGCAATGGACAAGCCCAGCTCCAGGGGCAGAGTGAACAGGGTCTCCTGGCCTTTAGGCTCCTTCCCAGCATCAAAGCTAGGCAGGGGCAATGAGAGGTTCAGGGCCTGGTAGAACTGGTGGATCTGGGGGTTGGACAGGGGCCGGATTATGGGTCTTTTGCGGGACTCAGGCAGGGAGCCCTGGAGTTGGGGGCTGAACCAGGCGTTGCAGTAATCATACTGGCAGCACTGGGCCTCATACCAGTACCCTGGCAAGTAGGTGCTGTGTTTTTCTTGGCAGCGGTAAGAATTGTACTGTCCACAGCCTCGGATGATGAAGCGAACCTTGTTATCTAAAGGAGATGGGACAGCCATAATCTCTAATAATAGCTTCACACAGTCCCCAAACTTGGTTCCCCTGCCATTGATTCCCCAAACCTCACCCAGACCTGATTTCTATTCTGGGCACCTTCAGATGAGACCACAAGAACCCCTGCCCCTCCTTCCAAGATGCTCTGTAGGAAGAAACCAAGCCATAGCTGTCCCACCAGCAGCCCCTTCCTGGGACTTTACTCACTAATATAGATGGTGATCACCATGCATGGGGATAAGCTGCTGATAGTGCACTTCTCGGAGCCCGAAATGCATCCTACAGAAGGATCTTCTAAGAGGCACAAGTGGCAGGTTCGGACCTGGGGGACAGGACCTGGGGATGCCAAAGAAGGAAGGATGGAAGCAGAGGCTAGGATGGCAAGCATTCAGAGCCCCAGTTCTACCCCTTTTCTAGACGATTTTCCCCTTCTTCCCTGCCCCTGGGCCTCACTTACCCTTTCCCACTGTGAAGGCCACCATGATAAGCACATCTACAAGCATATAGGCCTTCATTATTGAATTCGGGAGAGAGGGGTGGTTCCTGAAGGATGCCTAAAACCCTATGAAAGAGTTTGATCCTGAACAGCAGGATGGTTTTGACAGGCAGTCTGAGGAGTTTGCTGTGAGTGTGGAGCTATATTCCCGCCTGGGGCAGAATTCTGGCTGGGGGAGGAAATTATTAACTTGGCAGGAGGGACAGCATGTCCTAAACCATAAAGTCTGGTTCCCGAGAGTGGGAGCAGTGGCCCAGACAGGGTAATACCTGGTTACCACACAGATCTTTGTTCAGTTGTCTATCTTTATCCTACACGTCCCCCTTCTCTCAAGGGCCCATAGATTGATTAGTGTCAGTCTCTGGCACTATCTGTAGTCTTTCCCATACAATAGGGTTAGTTCCCATTGTGCTGGGACATTGCCCAGGCCTAAGAATCCCCATCCTTCTGAGGAGCATGTGTCACATACCCCAGACAGGGAACATGGATTACCACAGGATCTCTTCCCTCCTCTCTACCCCTTACAGTTCTGTTTATTTTAGGACTACATTACCTTAAAACCAAAACTAAAAAAATAATATTGCTGGTTAAGCCCCTTATAAACAAATACCCATGGTGCTCAAAGAGAACAAAAATATTATTCTTGTCCTTAAAACCTGATTGTTTCTTTTCTTTTCCTTTTGACATTTTATTTCCCCACTTTGCTCTATAATAAAAATATAAAACCAAATCCATGCAGCACAGATGTGTGCTGGTTTACAACCTGGGAGGGTGGGCTGAGCCATGGCCCCTTGGGTCCAACACACCACCACCATCCCTTTCCCAACCACAAGCACCAGCAGACTAACTCATGGCCTTTTCTTCCACTTTATTTCATATTCCCACCACAATAATGACTCCTTTAATTTAAACTAAAAACCAGAGGGTTCTTGAAAGGGTGTCAGCAAAGGAATGGAAGTGTCAAAGACTGAGTGAGGGACACACGGGGTGGGGAATCAGCGAATCGTCTTGACTGGGCTCTTGAAGTTGCTGGCGGCTTGGAGTTGCAGCTGGTAAGCCATCGGATGGATCTTGAAACCGTAGAGCCTGGCCAGGGCAGAGGTCAGAGAGGCAGCAGGGTGAGCCCAATCTTGGCCCTGCCTGCATTCCCACCTCCCTACCCCAGCTCCTCCATGGGCCTGCTCAATGCTTGAGAACAGTTGTTCCCAAGCTTCTGTGTTATGAATATTTGGGAATGTATCTTAAACATCCATTAAAGCTGTAATCCCAGTGGCTTGGGAGGCTGAGACAGGAGGATTGAGAATTCAAAGCCAGCCTCAGCAATGGTGAGGTGCTAAGCAACTCAGTGAGACCCTGTCTCTAAATAAAATACAAAATTGGGTTGGGGATGTGGCTCAGTGGTTGAGTGCCCCTGAGTTCAATCCCTGGTACAAAAAAAAAAAAAAAAAATTCATTGAAACTTAAATTCCAGACCAGGTGTGATGGTGCTCCCTACAGTTCCAGCTACTGAGGAATTTTGAGACCAGCATGAGCAAGACTGAAAACAAAACAAGCCTGGTATTGTGACACACTTTTATAATCTTAGCTACCAAGACGCTGAGGAGGAGAACATAAGTTTGTGAGGAAAGCCTGGGCACCTTAAACAAATCTTACTTCAAAATTAAATTTAAAAAAGAGTTGTAGATGTAGTTTAGTGGTAGAATACTTGTCTAGGAAGTCACAAGTCCTGGGTTCAAATCCCAGTATAACATACAAAAAAATAAAACAACCAAAACAGAAAAAGAAAGCACTATCAACTAGGCACATGCTATTAGCATCCGTGTTTGATGGACAAGGAAACTGAGGCACAGATAATCAAATAACTGCCCTACAATCATTCAGCAGGAAGAAGCCTGGTTTTGGAAAAGCAGGCCTCAAGAAAGGGCTATCTGTGACCTCCCTTTTCTCAGTAAATCCTCAGCCTTTCCTTTGACCCTTGGTGATTCTGTCCCTGCTCCCCACCTGGGCACAAACTGGTTGGCAGGTCGCTTGGGCCGGTATTCTGGATGCACCATGAAGAGCATGTGAGGGAAACCGGTGCCGAAGTAGGCGCCGTCCGTGTGATGGTGCCTCGATGACTTGGGTGTGTACACATCCATGCACTTGGGACAGTAGAGCTTCACCATAGCCTCGCCTGGGATGTCTGAAAGGCCTGGGAGACAGCCAGACTCTGCAGGCCAGGTCCCCCCCAACTCTGCCCAAATTCCCCATAAGACTCAGGCACCAATCTGCTGAGCCTCAGTCTTGGAGGACTGACATACAGTGCCCTCCTCTCCCTTCTTCAACACTCACCGATGGGAAGCATTGGCTGGTTCTCACAGTACACACGGGGACAGTAGCCAAAATCCCCCTGCTGGTACTTTTCCAACTGAGGTGAATAAAATGGAAGGGAGTTGGCAGGTAAGTGTGATGAGAAGAGGCAAGCCCTTCCTCAGCCCAACCAACATCACTCTGCCCCTCCCACCTCCCACTTCTGACCAGAAGCCCCTTCTCTGGTCCAGATGGGCCCTCTGACTCCTCTGCTGCCTTTCCTCCAGTTGGGCAAGCTGCAGAACACCAGTGCCATCTGCTATTTGTTCCCTAAAGAAGAGGCAATCTATAACAACTCCCTGTCCAAGCTCTCATTTCCCTCCCTGAAAATAGTCCCCTCAGCACAACCCCCAGTAAGATTCATTCTCCAAGCCCTGGCCCTGAGCTAAATTCCTTGACTGGGATGAAGCCATTCCTGATGGTGACTTCTTGCTGAAGGAATTATTTCCCTTATTGCTTCAGAAGGAGTCAAGTGGGAGCAGAGAGGCCTCACCATCTGGGCGATGCCACGGTTGGTGAGGATGTAGCGGGCGTGGATCAATCCATACAGCATCTCAGCTGCCTGCTCAATCAGGTCACTCTGGTTGGGGTTGTCTTCCAGCTCTTCATCTGCAATGTGGGCCGGCCAGATGCAACCACTTGTTTTTCAGCTTTCCTAGATACCCATCCACCCTTAGGGATCATAAGCTGCTCAGCTTGTCCAGTGCCCACCTTTGAGCCCCACCCCATTCATCACCTGGCATCCAAACCAGAAAACTGGTCCTTTGACCTTTTCACCAATTCAAAGAAGCTCTGCCTTCTCTCCACACTTCTTCAGCCCCTGCTCTCTTCTCTCCCTCCCTACTCCCTTCTTAACACGAAAACACAAAGAAGTCAGTCTAGACTGAAAGGTGCAAAGCAAGAGAAAGAGGTCATAAATGATATCCATGAGTAAAGTGGCATTATGCAATGATGAGTTATAAATTCAGAGAGCAAGAAAACCATCGCACAATGAGGCAAGTCAGATAGGGGATCAAAATAAAGCAGGGGATTTGAGGTTAGGAGAGTAGAGAACTAAAAGGAAATTTAAAATCTCAAGAAAACAATAGGGATTGGAAGAGAAAAGAAGGCACATATGTATGTGTGAATGCACATGCATACACACAACAACCCTGAAGAAGCCTCACCAGGCTCCAGGTCCAAGATCATGTCTAGAGCTTGTCGATAGTGAGGCACCTGCTCATTGAGTCCAGTAAGATTAAATTTGTCCTGGATATAGTCTTCATCCACCTGACAGAACACAGAAGACAGAACCTTTATAAGAATACCCAGCTTGACTTGGGTAAGAAGCTCTAAACTGTATCTGTTCCCCACTCCCAACTTGGCAGAAGTACTTGAGTTATCTCCTGCCAGTTTACATCACTCTCTCAAAAAGCTTAGGCTTTTCTAAGGATAAGCAGGTATAGCAACCTCCTCCTTACACAGATATTCCTTTCAAGATCACTATTTCTTCTTCTGCCTCTCATCTCTAGGAACCTGTTTTGTCTTCTACTTTGGTACATCTGGCTTTGTGATGATGATGGACACTGAACAGCCTGGTGTCTAAAGGCTGTTTGAATCCCTTACATTAACACACAGCCATGCCCATTACAAAGATCTTAACATGAAGCATTTCAAATTTCTTAACTACCAAAGGTAGACACTACCAGTATACCATCCTAGTAATAAGACAGATTAACAAATCCAAATGTATACTGCTGCAGGGTGGCAGGTCCCCAGTCACGCCTCTTCTTCACTGGTTAGTAGAGAACTATTGGTAAGACCTTTCCTTGATGGGAAGGAGTGCCCATAGACACATCTAAGTGTACAGAAGCTGAAAGACATGAGGAGTTGTCAATTAGGGGTTTGCAGAGAACTCACTTCACAGAAGAATTCATTGCCACGGAGCCCACAGAACCAGGAAATCCAAGACACCTCCTCTGAGCTACTCATCTTCACGTCGGCTGGGGAAAAAAAAGGGGGGGGGGTATGGTGGTGTTATAAGTAAGCCCAAACTCTCCCGTCTGCCTTTGGTATCCTCCCTCCTCCCACACTCCAACACGGAAAGATTTGGGGCCACCCTTTCTTAAAGGATCCCAGGCCCTGAAGCAACCCTCTCCAACCTCTCTTACACTTCTGCCACTTTTTGGTGAGGGGGAAATTCTCTTAAGTCCCACCACTTGTGAGAAACCGCAGGTACTGATCCACCTACTCCATCCACTCTCTGACCCTCCCTGACCTCTCCCCTTTGTGTCAGTTTCAGCAGGGCCCTCGGCTTGGGCTCCCTACCACCGCAGGTGTCTGCATGTCCTCCGCGTCTTTCCCAAGGGTTCTGAAGTTTATCCTTCCCAAGGGCCGGGTCCCTCCTTTCCTCACATACTGAGAACGGCCGTCATGCCCCTTTCACCGGAGTACCCAGATAACACCTCCGGCCCTCAGCTCACTCTCCCTCCCTTCCTTTGGTGATGGACCGGGTCACTTCCTTCCTCGCCCCCACATCAAGGCGCAAAGACCCCATGTGCCGCGCCCAGGGACAGGGGACAGGCACGGCGACGACCTTAGACTCACCCTCTGGACGGGGAACGGGACCGGGGTGGGGGAGGGGATTACGGCTTCTAAGGAACGGCGGCTACCGCTACAGCGCAGGCCGCGGACCCGACCGCGGCAGGCTAAGTTGGGGGGGGTGAGTGGGGGAAGAGTGGAAACTGGAGAGGGTGGGGAAGAGGAAAATGCGCAAGCGCCAAGGGTCGGGCGGCTCGGTGGACGCCGGGAAATGGAGTCCCCAGTATGGAGAAAAACTAGCGATTTGAGTAGAGGCGAACTACGAATCCCAGGAAAACCTGCGCACGACCCTGGTGTCGCGAGGCCCCCGAGAAAGACGTCTGGGGGGCGGGGCTCAGCGAGGCACCACCGGAAGCGGAAGCCAAGTACGACGTTCGGGGCCAGCGAGCCTGGGAAATATAGTCGTGCGCTCACTGGACTGAGGGGTCGAGAAGGGGCGGGGACTGGGGCAAGCTGACTGATCCCTCCCCGCCTCTCTCACACCTTTCCCCTCAGGTCCCAGCTTGGTGCTACAGCCCTGCGGATGGACTCCATTCTAGGTCTATCCACTGGGCTCCTATTGCCAGTCAGGTTCCTCCTCCGAGTCGGACCCGCCACTAGATCCCCTGACGGACCCATGTTTCACCCGGGATTTGGCGTAAGGCCGGGAGGTGTGACCGGCTCCATTCTGAGGGACTTGGATCGGGTGTGCTTAGGCTGAGCTGAGTGAGTGGTGTGAGAACCGGGACGGCCCAGTGCGCTAACCTGAGGTGGCGCCAGCCATTCTGCTGTTCGTCCCTTTGGACTTTTCCATTTCCTCTTAGGGCTTGAATGGAGCGTTCTGCTGCGGGCTCTTAAGTGTGTTCTTCGAACCCTGGTCAGAGTAATGGTGAGGGGCAACGTGACGTTATTTCATTTCACAGCTTCTCGGCATTCCACAGGTTTCCTTCTGGCTCCTTAGGGCTTTTCTTAAACCGGAGAATGGTTTCCCAGCTCCAGGAAATGAACTTGTAGGTGGGGGCCACATCGAGGGCCGCGAAGGGCATTGTGGGGGCGTTATGTAAAAGTAGGACCCCAACCGACAGAACTCCGGGGTCCTCGCGCTAGTTAGGCACGCGATGCTTGACGCGTATACTCGAAAAGGTTCCAGCGCGGGAAACCACCTTTTGGGTGTTTTGTTGTTGGTGTCGTCACGCATGCGTCTTCGTGCCGTGTGGCTGTTTGTCAACTCTTTAGATTAGAATAGCGCCATTTTACGGTACGGAACCTACAAAGCAACGCAGGCAGGAGCCTTTCCCATTTTCTGGAGATACTGCAGAAAAATGTCACGTCTGTTTTTGTTTGGAAACAGGAGATCTCGAAATAGGATCGAGCAAGAATTAAAGGGCCGGTTTGAGTTTCCTTAGTGGTATGTATTAAGAGATTTTTTTTTTTCTTCTCAGTGCTGCACATTGAATCCAGGGTTTTATATTTGCAAGAGCTCTGCCATCTATGTAGATCCACACGTCTAATCCCTCATGGAGTTTTAGTAATCTTTACTAAGGGGCCGGGTCTATTATTCTAGGGGTCACTATTTTTACATGTGACCCAGGACCCTTAAGCCTTGCAGGGCTTTAGGTTGTGGAGTCAAGTTTTGGGGCAGTAGGGTGTTGTTCATCCAAGGCCACCCTTTCTCCCAGCAGATCCCTGGAGGTGGTACTGGTCACTACAGAGGCCATCGGGTTAGGTTGCTTGTTTCATCCTTCTTTTGTCTACATTTTCCCAAAAGCCATGTCCAGGCCTTCCCTCATCACATTCACCCCAGCCACAGACCCCAGTGACCTATGGAAGGATGGGCAACAGCAGTCAGAGCCTGAAAAGCCAGAGCCCACCCTGGATGGGGCTGCAACACGGGCTTTCTATGAGGCACTGATTGCAGATGAGAACAGTACGCCTGAACCCCAGAGATTTCGGCCTGATCCTGTTAGGGAGAAAAAAAGGAAGAAAAGAAGAATGACAAGGGAGGTTGCAGCAGAAGCAGTGGCAGTAGGAATACCAGGAAGACATGGACAAGGCAGATCCTTTGAAACTGAGGACAAAATGACCCAGTGGATATTGAAGGCTGCCCAAGAGGGGGACCTGGCAGAACTTCGAAGGCTGTTGGAGCCCTGTGAGGCAGGGGGAGCTGGAGGGAATATCAACGCTCGAGATGCCTTCTGGTGGACACCTCTGATGTGTGCTGCTCGAGCTGGCCAGAGTGCTGCTGTGCACTATCTCCTGGGCCGAGGGGCTGCCTGGGTGGGGGTCTGTGAGCTGGGTGGCAAGGATGCTGCTCAGCTGGCTGAAGAAGCAGGCTTTGCCAAGGTGGCCCGCATGATCAGGGAGAGCCATGGAGAGACACGGAGCCCAGAGAACCGGTGAGGGGGAACCTTATCCCATACTCTTCTTTCAATGTGTTCTGCCTTTCCTGGCCACCCCACACTAGAGGCCCTAGAACAGCTTAAGGAGTGTCCCTATTCTCCAGGGTAGGTTGATAAAGTAATATACTCAAGTGGTTATGGACATATACTCCCTAGGTTTAAATTCTAACACCACTTATTTGGAAGAAAATGACTACATATGTTTTCCCCTCTGAGAAATGGGGGTTAAAGAGCACCTTTTTCATGGGATTGTTTTTAGGATTCAGTGAGTTAAATATATAAGTGCTAGAATAGTACTTGCCATGAAATCTGCACTATAAAAATAATAGCTATAGTCATTATCATTCCCTTTCCCAAGATCTTGTGAGGCTTGGTTGCCAACTTTTCTTCCCAATATTGCCATCTGGGTCCCTCTTGCTAGGTGGGGAGGGGCTTGGGTATAGCTCAGTGGTGGAGCACTTGCCTCGCATGCATGAAGCCCTGGGTTTTAATCCCATCATTCAAAGCAAAACAAAGTGATGATGCTAAGTGGGAAGGAAGGCAATGTGTTCCTTAGCAGAAAAGCTGGAGGGATTCTGCCCCACACTGCCATCCTCCTAAGGCCTCAATTCTTCGCCTTTGATTCCTCTGTTCTTCTTTCTCTGTAGGTCTCCTTGTCCCTCCTCTCAGTACTGTGAGACCTGTGATGCCCATTTTGAAGACTCCAACCACTGCACATCCACTGCTCATCTGCTGTCACTGTCCAGGGGTTCCCAGCCCGCTAGCCTTCCCTTTGGGGTGCCCACCTCCAGCCCTGGTTTCAAGCTGCTGCTGAGGGGAGGCTGGGAACCAGGAATGGGGCTGGGACCCCGGGGTGAAGGCCGTGCCAACCCCATACCTACCGTCCTCAAGAGGGACCAAGAAGGTCTAGGTTACAGATCAGCACCCCAGCCCCGAGTCACACATTTCCCAGCTCGGGATACCCGGGCTGTGTCTGGGAGAGAGAGAGCTCCTCGAGTGGCCACACTTAGCCGGAGGGAGAACAGAAAGCAAGAGGAGAAGGACAAGGCCTGGGAGCGGGATCTGAGGATATACATGAACCTTGATTTCTGACATAGGTGAAATCTGATGTTGGTCTGCTTTGAATTCTGAACTTGGATCTCTGACTTGGGCCCTTCGACTTATGTTTTCTGGGATCTGCCCAGGTGCCAGATCTTCAGGTTTTGGTCGTTGGACACTGATTTGGTGAGGAAGGGCTGAGAATTGAGAAATAAACATCTTGTATTGTGGTTTATTTACTTTTTTGGAATCTGTTGAGGAAGCCAAACAGAAATCTGGGGACTACATATAAGTCCCACCTGAGCCAAAAGAGGCAGCCTCCCCAGGTGACTGCCAGTCTGGGTTCATTTCCAGATCCTAGCCCCTGCTGGATAGGTGCCCCACCTATTCTTTCAAACTTTCCTGAACTCTGGAATTGCAATAATTCTCACTTCCCCTAAGAAGGGTCCCCTGACTATTCCAGCCAATTCAGTCACTGATCTTAAACATAGTCATATACAATGTACTAAGACTACTAGTGAAAGACTTTCCCAACCCTGCAGGAGGGAAGTGTAGTCATTTTATTACATTATAATGGGTGGTGATAGGGTAAGTCAAGGAAAGCCCTTACTCTCAAGAGCTCTGTGATACAAGGTGTAATTATCCGCCCTTAATGCTGTTTGAGCTGGGACCAAACCGGCCTCCCAAATCTAAACTTGTCACAGTTCATTTCACAACCTGAAAGCTCCTGAGGGCAGGGAATAATTTGTTTTCCCACAATTTGCCACTTTAGCACCCCCTCACTCCATTGTGCTCATACCAGGTGCTAGGCACATGAAGAGTTAACAGATCCCTGCATGGAGGGGCAAAGAAGGGCCGCTACAGTCTCAATGTCCCCCTCATCATTTTCCCCTCCGGAAAAGCCTTTCACAAAGTCGTGCGAGATAAGTGGAGAGTGTGTGCTGGAGTTGGGAGGACGGATACACAAGAACCCAAGGGCAGTGGGTAGGCGAGTTTAGAGAAGCACCGGGGCGTAGTGCCTCTGGGAGGTGAAAACAGAGAACTGGGTTTGTATTCTGATTCTGGCCCTCGCGAATACGCGCCGCCGCCTGCGGAACCGAGCTCAAAGAAAGCGCGGGGGTAGCGGGGAGGTCGATCCTCAGGGTCCGCCCCGCGATCTGTGGGCTCCGCCCCCGCCAGTCCCTCCCGTCCCGGTGCAGCTGCTTCCGGGCTCCGCGACTACAGGCGGTCCGCGAGGCCCGGGCTCCGACGCTGGGCCCAGGAGCGGTCCCAGTGCACAAGCGCCTGGACGCCTGGGTCCCCACGTAGGCCCGCGCTGTGCCTCCCGACTGGGATCTCCGAGGATCTCCGTCCTGACCTTGCGGAGGCCGAGTCTCTGTTGTGTCCTCGCCGGCCGGTGGGGCCACTTTGTAGGAATCATAGCCTCCTTAATCGGGACGGACGCTACTGGCTGGAGTTTGCTGGACATCTTCCACCTACTTCCCAACAGAGACTTCCTATTCCTTGAACTCCCTTGGGGCAGCAGATTAAGACTTTTCAGATCCAGGAGGACCTAAGAACCCTGGGCCACCTTTCTTCCTTCCTTCTTTGATGGAGCACCGCCTCCCCAGTTTCTGGGGCACCTTGTGGCGTGGCCTTGGTGAGTGAAACTTGGGGTGCTGCCTGCTGGGAAGGAAATCTGGAACACGGACACTGTAGGGGTGACCCCGGTCTTGTCAGACCCTGAGACTCTTGAAATCTCATGGGTGGGGATTGTGGTGGTGAATGAATTCGAGTGTGCCTCCCTTCTTTACCCCCAAACGGAAAACAAAACAAACCACTTGCCATTCTTGAGGCTGCATGACCATTCAGGGGAGCGGGGAGCCCCTTCTGAATTCAGAATAGGACGGCATCAACAAGCAGATAACCTGTTCTGAACCTGAATAGATTCTGCCTTCTGAGGAGACCTTGAGAGTGTAAGAAGTGCCAGGAAGTAGCCCCAGATTTGGGGAGTTCATTACACACCCCAACCATGTTCCTGCGACGGCTTGGTGGCTGGCTACCTCGCCCTTGGGGCCGCCGGAAACCCATGAGGCCTGACCCGCCTGCCCCAGAACCCAAATGGGTGGACAGCTCCCCTGAGAATTCAGGGAGTGATTGGGACAGTGCCCCAGAAACCATGGGAGATGTGGGGCCTCCCAAGACCAAGGACTCAGGGACACTGAGGAGTTTCCGGGCTGCTCCAGAACCAAGCAGGGAGCCCCAAGTTGAGCAACTGGGGAACAAAAGAATGGATTCCCTCAAGTGGGACAAGACTGTCTCTAGCACTCAAGAGTCTGGGAGACTGGAGGATGGAGGGGCCATTCCAAAACTAGAATGGGATCCTGTGGATTCAGGTGGCACCAGGAGTCCTGGGGTGTCTCTTGAAGGGGGACTGGGCGCCCCTGGGCCAGAAGTCCCAGTGGAGAAAACTGGCCAGCATCAGAAGCTGCTGGGCTGGCTGCGGGGGGAACCAGGGGCACCACCACGGTACCTGGGGGGCCCAGAGGAGTGTCTGCAAATCTCCACCAACCTGACCCTACACCTGTTAGAGCTGCTGGCCTCAGCCCTGCTGGCGCTGTGCTCTCGGCCATTGCGGGCAGTCTTGGATGCATTGGGTCTTCGAGGACCAGTGGGCCTCTGGATTCACGGGCTACTGTCTTTCCTTGCTGCTCTGCATGGGCTCCATGCTGTGCTGAGCCTACTTACTGCCCACCCTCTACACTTTGCCTGCCTCTTTGGCCTCCTGCAGGCGCTGGTGTTGGCTGTCAGCCTCCGGGAGCCTGGTGGGGATGAGGAGGCCACTGACTGGGAGGGTGAGGGTTTCCTGAGGGAGGGTGAAGAACAGAGGGGAGATCAAGGAAAGGGACTGTGACTATGGGGTGGGGTGGGGGCAAAAGGCGAAGATAGTGTGGCCTTTAGTAAAAGACTGGGGAGCATGACTCTGATTGTAAGCACAGGGACCTCAGGGATCAGAAAGAAACCCGAGAGTGAGGCACAGGGCCCCCCTTCATACACAGGAGAGAACAGAGCTGTTTAGCTGAGAGAACAGACATATTTATGGATGGTGGGCATTACCCTAGGATTCACCAGCTGTTGTTACTTTCTGCTTTTACATTTATCCTTTTACATTTTTTCTTTCCACCTCCATTAAAAAAAAAAAAAAAAGTGATAGTGGAGAATAAATACCAATGGGTCTTTCCTCCCTTTCCAAATTTGCCAGGGGTGGAGGAGACCAAAAAGGCACAATAGAGATCTCTTCACTAAGAGGGTGGCTGAGAGACCCAAGATGTCCCGGGAGCCTGGAACCTGAGCCATCTAGGAAGGAATGGGGCTGCTATGTTGGTGGATTAGGAACCTGGAGAGGGCCCACAGGTGACAAAGGCTGCAGGAAGATCTGGTGCTCTTGAGTCAGAGGAAGGTGTAGGCAGTATTGGCAGGAGTACCACAGCTCAGAAGGGACTCGCAGCTCAGACAGGGGAGCACTGAAGTTTGTAGTTCCCACTAAGAGACTAGGGGCTTGTTCACTCAGCAATAAATAACTGTGTAATACTAAATCCTAAATACACCACTACAATGTGAGAGGTACTGTCACTCAGTGTCTTTCCTGACGCCGTCCAATTTGGGGGGTTAGGTGGTAGAGGGTCTAGAGGAGTGTTGAATTAGGGGGAGTAACATTGATGTCTGGAGATAAACCCCAGGATGTGATGTGGATTGAAAAATCATTTTTATTTTCCTTGAAAGGGAATCAGGAGTCTCCAGCTTCTCTTTCCCCCAACAACTCAGCAACCGCTATATTGTTCTGGGGGCACAGATGAAGTTAAGGTCAGTTACTGGACAGTTTGCAGGCCTCTGTGAAGGGAGGAAGGAAAAGAAGATAGAAAGGCAGTCCAGGGAGAGAATAAGGTTGGTGGTTTTGGGGTTGGGGAAGAATGTGTGCCTTTATTCCCCCATGTCAAAGGACTCTTAAAGGCCTTTTCTCCTGTATGTCTGAATCTCTGCCCCCTTTATCCACTATAGACTTAAACCTGTTTTTTGAATAGCCCAGAACCCATCCTGGTTCCCTTAGACAACATCACAGCTCTTAGTCATATCCCTGTGATGCCATCATAGCTTATGAGATGTACAAGTGACCTCACAGCCACTCAGGTGATGTCTGCCTTTGGCCATGCCCTCTGGTAACATCACATGAGCCTCTCATTTAGCACTTGCAGAAGACCTGGTGAGTCCCAGTCCTCTTCTGGAAGACTTTAACCCCTCACCTTGATTCCTGGGAGTTAGTAAGAAGGCTCTGGAGTCCAGGCAGGAGGTCAGGGTCTGGAATTCTTCCACACACTTCTCAGAAGGGTGTGGTGAGCGATCTGAAAGGGCAGGGTGCAGCCAGGCCAGTCAAAGACCCTCCTTCTCACCCCCAGGACCTCACAGAAATTCTCAGCCCATTTTGAAAGGATGTCTAAGGGCCCAGACTGGGGAGCCCTTCTGCCTTCCCTTGTTTCACTGACACTTCCTGCCTTGCATTTCCACTCACTGTAGAGGAGAAAGCGCTGGTAACCCTGGCCTGTCTCTTTCAGCATAATTCCACCTGGGCATGAGCTGGAGAAGAGCTCAGTCTTCATGTCAGGGCGGCCTGTCAGGGCAGAGTGGGGGATGGGTGAGAACAGAAATGCAAAACCAAGCTTAGGGAGGCTGGGGTGGTTGAGAGCTGGTGGGAACCAACCTTCAGTTCTGAGGTCTGTGCTCCCTTCAGTCAAGTGATAAATCCATTCACGGGGCACACAGAATCCATTTTTCCTGCAGAGGTGATGATAGCAAGAAGAAAAGACAAGAGTGTTACCCCAACCACACAGTACCACCATGGTTTTTTTTTTTTTTTTTTTTTTTTTTGTGTGTCAGGGATTTAACCCAGGGCCTTGTGCAAGCACTCTACCAACTGAGCTACATCCCCAGCCCCAGCATGTTTTTATTCCATCTTGTTCTTTGCTGATGCCTGACTCCCTTTGGGTTTCAAGCTACCAAGAGATGGTTAAGTCCATTCTTTCTCCAGAGAGCAACTGGTAGAGCTATTGAATTCACTGGGCCAAGAGTCATGGATATACCGACCAAGAGCCCAGTGGGTGGCTGCTCACACTTTGGGCAGAGAGTGCAACTATTGATGCCTCTGCCTTCTCACTACTCACATGCGGATGGTAGCACGAAGCTGGAGCTGCAGTGGGGCAGAACCAGAAGCCATGTTGAAGATAATGTTGTCCACAGAGTCAAAAGTTGCCAACTCCTCCTTGGTGGGAGCTGCCCCTGCGATAAAGTACCACTGGCCCAGGTGGGGCTCTGGGAACTGGAGAGACAATAAGGGGAATAAAAGAGGGTAGATTGGGGGGTCCATCTCAGAATTCATTCAACTGCTTCATCAGTCAGCACAGCAAGATTTGGGGTGAAGGTGTTGGTTGTCTTCCTCTTTCCAATTGGGGGCTAAGTTCATGACAAGGAGTCATGAAATAACTTCCTCTTTGATCCTCTGCAATCAACCTGGGTAACCACTCTACCCCACCCTCCAATTCTTTCATATCTCCACAGTGATGGCTACAGCATTGATATTTTTCTTCCTGTTTTCATCATCAAAACACTCATGTTTCTTCCTCCCTTTTCAAACATAGCTTCTGGTTATCCTAGGCTACCCACCCAAGACTCTTAAGGCTTCCACCATAGGCTTCCCCCATTCTCAGTCCATACCTCTTTCTCATCCACTCCCAGAGTTGTCAGTTGACTGTGTTCAGGGCACTGATAGATGGAGTTAAGGAGAATGCCATAGAGGTAGAGTAGAGCTGCCCAAATTTGATTGAACATCTTCAGGTGGGAAGGAGCTGGTGGTCTGGTGGGGTAACTGGTGCTTTAACTGCTCTCTTCACCGAGGGCTGCTCAGTCCACTCGCTTCCAGCCCCCATGCCTCGACCCTTGACCCCTTCACCTGCTAATGAATAACTTCAACCTTGTTTTCCAACCCAAACCTGGATTATCTACAGTGTGTGGGGCCTTCCTCCCCCTCTTCTGGATGCAACCATTGCAGGATCTCTCAATTTTGAGGAGAGCTAGAAGCCTGTGGTCTTTCATCCCATATCTTGGTGGGAGATCTTTTTGTGTTGTGCTGCATCAAAGAGAAGTGGCTTGACAGGGTCCTAATTTTATTAATCTCTATGTCTTGTTTTTTTCATCTGTAAAATGTGCAAATCTTCACTTAGGAAACTTTTTGAGTCCTAGCTGTTTGCCAGGAACTGGCTAATCCCTATGGATATAAAAACAAATAAGACACAATCCCTGGCCTTGAAAAAGCCAGGGATATAGGAAAAACTAGTTGTGTAAACAACCATTGACATACAATCTTAAGTGCTTTGAACAGGTATGAACTGGTTGCTGGGGCATGGAGGGTTTTCTCTTAAGTTTATAATTGTAGAAATAGTTTGTACATACCCCAGAAAAGCTTGCTGACACATAAGTGAGTTAATTCAATGTTTATTACTACAAAAGACCACATATTCTAATGATTAAAGAAAATGGCATTGCTGTCTGATTGGTCCAAACCCTAACTCAGGTCTGGGACAATTTTATTAATCTCTCTGTCTTGTTTTTTCATCTGTAAAATGTGCAAATCTTCAGTTTTAGAGAATTAAATAGGAAGATACATAAAGCCCTTTACAATGACCTGCACATAGTAAATCTAAAGAAGCATTTTCTGTAATTGATAATAATGTTTATAAAGAACTTATACTTTCTGAATTCTCTAATAATGATAAGAATTCTCAAGAGGCAATGGATAGGGCCAAGTGAGTTAAGCAGTTAATGTGATGAGTTGTGGGGCTTAATTATTTAAAACTCATGGGCTGCCACAAAAAGATTTACATTGAGAGGTGAGACTGGCTATGGGCTTGTGATTTAGTTAAAAGAAAACATAATCTGGGCAATGGGTGTCTAAAGAGTTAATTATACTGTTGGGGGTAATGTTTACAAATTTTATTTTTGCAGGACTGGGGGTGAACCTAGGACCTTGCTTGTTATGCTAGTCAAGTGCTGAACCACTAATCTACACCCCAGCCCTTGAAAAATTTTTTGTTTTGGAGACATGGTCTGACTTTGTTGCCTTGGCTGGTCTTGAACTGGCAAAACTCTTGCCTCAGCCTTTGGAATACCTGGGATTACAAGCCCTTGAATAAAAACTAAAAAACAACAACAACAACAAAAAAAAAAACAACAATTATTGTAGCAGTAAAGCAGAAGACTCAATCCCGAGTCCGGCAGGCCTGGATTTGCCAGCTCTTCTACTTAGGCTCGTGGATGTTATTATCCATCTCACATGTTGAAAACCCTTTTGCGGTGTTTCATGTGGTGCTGGGATGAACCCAGGGCTTCACACATGCTGTGAAGGAGCTCTGCCACTGAGCTGCACTCCTTTTAAGGCTTAAAAACATGACAGTTTGTAACCCACTCGGTGGCTGGCACAAACGAAGTGCTCACTAAACATGCTTATTGGAACTTTTTTTTTTTTTTTTCCCCTGGGGGGGTGGGATCTAACCCTGGTACGCTTTACCACTGAGCCACATCCCCACCCCTTTTAAATTTTGAGACAGCCTCACTTATCTGCGGAGGCTGGCCTCGAACTCGCGATCCTCCTGTCTCAGCCTCCCGAATTGCTGGGATTACGAGGGAGCCACCACGTCCGGCTTTATGGTAACTTAACGGATGTAGTACTTGCACCTGGATATAAACTACGAATTCTAGAAAGGCTAGGAATAATAAGGGTTATAGAGATTGTAATCACCCAAAGCTTAGAAACCCTGTTGGTGGGCCCTTCAAGTCCCCATTTTCAGGGTCTTGTCTTTCGGTCCAGCCGGACTCCGTATGCTCCCAGTTCTCAAATCCAGTGGTGGTGTCCCTTTTCTTGAAAAGTCCTAAAAAGCAGTGGCTTGCTTAGCTTTCCTAAAACATGGCATGTCCCCTCAGCCGCACTTAGCCAATGGCTAGCTTGACACCACAGTCCGCAACACGCCCCACCCGGTCAAAACGATCTCTACCCAACGACGCGACGAGACGCAAAGTAGCCCGCAAACGGACCCCAACCGCCTAAGGTAAAGTGACCTCCGGAGGCGCCGAGCACAGGGCCAGGTGAGGGCCGCAGTGAGAATGAGAGTTTTAGGTGGCTAGGTCAGTGCCGCTCAAAATTCTCTGCCTGCCAAAACTTTAATATTGATAAGGCATAATCCCAAATCTCCAAAATCCAAGATTCATAAAACCATCCACAGCATCTCTCGAAGAAGGCGTGGAGTCGATATATTTTCTTCAGGCATTTATAATGGCCACCTCAACCTCCTAGGTCTCTAGCGTGCTCATAGGCAAAGTGCAAAAGCCATGGTGAGGGGGGTAGGGAGGTGCTTAAATGTTTACGCATGCGTAGTGCGACTCACGCAGGCGCACTACAGTTCCCCGGGCGACGGCGGCGGTGGCTACTGAGGGTGTTCGGCTCTTTCCCATCTAGGCCGGCCCCAGCCCATCTCCACCCCGGGAGCTCACTACCTGGGGCCGCGGACTTCCTCATCGTGCCCCATAAAAGTAAACTTTGGGGACCTGGAGGAGCCGAAAGTACCGCGTCGAGAGCCCCAAATACTATTGGGGAAACGGAAGTGGCTTTCGGTAGCAGACTAGGGGAAACCGGAAGTGACGGTACCGGGGGAAGTCGGGGGCGGAGCCATAGGGTGGTGGGGTGTGTATGTATATGTGTGTGGCCGCGTGTTGGTTGCGCCGCTCTGCTGGAACACCGAGGAAGGCGGAAGGGGGGGGCAGTCAGCTAGCCGGCCCACCCCCCCCCCCCCCCCGTAAGTGTCAGCCGTCTTGGGTGTGTAGTGATTTCGGCGGGTTCGATGGGCGTGGCGCGCGTGCGCGAAACCACTTTCTCCGCCGAGCCGGGCGCTACCCCCACCCCCACCCCCACCCCAGGTCTTGCGTTGTCCCAGAATTGGACGACTTCTAGGGCCTTTGCCCTATCGCGACCGGTGATGACACTGGTCTCTGGTCTCGTGCTTCCTTCCCTCATTCTCAGCCCAACTGGCCCTCCTTTATTGTGATTGGCATTGTGGAGCCCCTCCCACCTCCTGTCCTTCAGCTCCCTATGCCGTCGATCTCCTGCCCTTTGTGTTTCTCTCCCTGTGCCCCGGAATCAGAAGGGGGATCGGGGCGGGTGTGAGTGTGTGTGCTTGTGTAGGAGAAACTTTTTAGGTATTGGGGCGGAGATTCAGGCCAGGGAGGCTTCCGGTATATAAAATCTTACGGGCGACGCGGACCTTCCTCCCTTCGTTCTTCCTTAGAGAGCTGTCCGCCATGGAGCCCAGTGATTCTACCAGTACCGCTATGGAGGAGCCTGACAACTTGGAGGTATTAGTGAAGACCTTGGACTCTCAGACTCGGACCTTTATTGTGGGGGCCCAGGTGAGATCCCAGTACTTCTGGAAGATACCCATTAGCTCTTCCTCTTCCTCCCTTAGAACTGATGGGAGAGCCTGATTTTCTTGTCTTCAAATTTTCATTGATTCCTTTGTTTATATTCTAGATAGAACATCTTTTGATGTGTTTGTTGGGGGAGGTATGTTTATTGTTAAGTGAGGCAGATTTTATTTTGCCTTTCTTCACCTTGCTAGAACTCAGTGCAAAGTAAAATAGACCCGAAGGAGGAACCTGTGCTATCATGGGTGGACCCTAGCCCAAAGGAAGAGTTGGGGCTCCAGTTTTGGGGAAAGGAAACAATGCGGGGACCTCAAACAATTTTTCTGATAAACAGATTGATTGCAGCTGTATACTGTACTTATGAAGTCTGGAAACCAGAACCCATAATGCAGGTGGAGCCCTAGTAGACTATTCAGTGGAATTACTAACATCTGTGGCATAAAATGACTCTTGAATTTAATACCATAGTTATCTGTTTTTAATTCTGTAATTCTTGGAGACAAACTCATGAGGTGGTGGGTCAATGATATTTTAAGATGTGTTTAAGAAAGTCACATAGGTTTTTCTGTGGCTAGATATTTGTAATACTTTCCAAGACTTTGTCTAGTTAGGGCAAATGTTTTTCTTTTTGGCTTCCTTCTTTTTTGCAGAGCTGGGGGTTGAACCCAGGATCTTGCACATGCTGGGCAAGTGCTGAGCTACACCCCCAGCTCTTTGCTCCCTTCTTACCTTCATGGTGGGGGACCCCTGCCTGGTACTCTGGGGCTTGGGGCCTCTTCTTGGTTAGTTTTCCTTAACCTAATTCCCTACCCTATCCTCCTTTCCTTTTTTGTTTTAGACATAGCCTTGCTAAATTGCTGATGTTGGCCTTGAATTTGCAATTCTGCCTTAACCTCCCAAGTCACTGGGATTATAGGCGTGTACCACTCCATCTGGGTTTGCAGTTATTTTTGTCTTTGAGATTACGGCAGAAAAATGAACTCCTGGTATCATTTTGTATTTAGGAAGGGGTTACTGATCTCTCTAGATACACTTTCCTTTGGAAGCTAGGCAAAGGAGAGAAGGAATATTAGTTGGCTTTTTTTGTTCCTCATCCATGAGGCACTGGGTTCAATCCTCAGCACCACATAAAAATAAACAAAATAAAGTCATTCTGTTCTTTTACAACTATTAAAAGAAATTTTAAACGTATGTGTTTGTATTATGTCTGAAAGTTTGTTAAATTAATTCTGTATTTTGGTGGGTTGTCTTTGTTCAGTGTTTTGCACAATTAATATCTTACAGTCAGGACAGTTGGATAGTGATTCTATACTGGTTTTTACCCCTTAACTCCACAAATCAGTTGGCTTTTTCTCTTTTTTTCCTTTATTCTGATTCCTGTGTATGATTATTCCTCCTTACAGATGAATGTAAAGGAGTTTAAGGAGCACATTGCTGCCTCTGTTAGCATCCCCTCTGAGAAACAACGGCTCATCTATCAGGGGCGAGTTCTGCAAGATGATAAGAAGCTCCAGGAATACAGTAAGAGGGTTGGAGGGCAATTCAGAGGTTTAGGTTGCTACCCAGAGGGATGAGCTTAAGGCCATGTATATACCTACTCATGCAATGTTTTGGTGTGTATCTTTTTTCCTGCAGATGTTGGGGGAAAGGTTATCCACCTGGTGGAACGGGCTCCTCCTCAGACTCAGCTCCCTTCTGGAGCATCTTCTGGGACAGGGTCTTCCTCAGCTGCCCATGGTGGGGGACCCCTGCCTGGTACTCGGGGGCCTGGGGCCTCTGTTCATGACCGGAATGCCAACAGCTATGTCATGGTTGGAACCTTCAATCTTCCTGTAAGCTTGTGTTTCACATGGAAGGGTTTTTTAGGGAGGGGTAGTTTGGGTTGTGTTAGCGTCAGGGAACATATTAGATAGTTGTCTCAGTCTTGAGATTGGGTTTGGAGAGCTCTCTGATCAGATATTGGCCTTGGTCTTTGAGAAAAAGGGGTGGGGCTCCACAGAATGAGTTGAAAAGTGTGGAGGCCTTAGTATTTGGCTTCTCCCAGAGCAACTTCCCTTACCCTTTCCCCAGAGTGACGGCTCTGCTGTGGATGTTCACATCAACATGGAACAGGCCCCGATTCAGGTATTGAGGGGCCTGGGAGGGTCAGGGAAGGGGATCTGGGAGAAGGAGGCCATGAGGTGGGGTGGACCTGGCTAATGAGATGCTTGGGACCTGGATTAGTAGGCGGTGGAGCTTATGACTTCATCTCAGACCTGTCCTGATTATTCCTTTTTTATTCTAGAGTGAGCCCCGGGTACGGCTAGTGATGGCTCAGCACATGATCAGGGATATCCAGACCTTATTATCCCGAATGGAGGTAAGTGAGCAAATCTGCCTAGGTTCTCTCCGCCCCCTTCTCCTCGTAGCCTGAGGGTAGGAGCATGATTGGCCACATCCATAGGATTCTGTCTTCCTAATCTGGTCTTTTCTTTGCAGTCGTTCTTTTGGGCAGAAAAAAGTATCTTTGTGAGGCTATCTTGTCCCTGCCAATCCTCTGAATGCCTGGTATCGGGGGAGTTTGTTTCAGTTCTTAGATAACTTGGCATAGCATCTTTTCAGTTAAAGAAGAATTCCACTCTTTCTTTGTTTCTTCCTTCCTTCCTTCCTTTCTTTTCTTTCTTTCTTCGTTTCTTCCTTCCTTCTTTTCTTTCTTTCCTTCTTTCTTTCTTTCAGCTGCAGATAGAC